CATTACTCAAGTCCTCAAGGTTATTCAAGGCTTCCTGCACAATTTCCTTGTTTTCCTCTGTATTGACAAAGTCTCTGATCTCTGTGGTGTCAGCATATTTCATCAGCAGGCTCCTACTATTTGTAGCAAGGTCATTAAGTATACTGTTAAACAAGATTGATCCCCAAACTGATCCTGGAGAAACTCCACTTGTAACCTTCCTCTACTAGGATTTCCCCTTTCAACCCTATTCATTGTCAGCTCCCCTTTAAGAAATTCCTTGCACAGCTTGCAGCTATTCTCCTGATCCCTGTGTCCTCTAACTTCACTAACAATTTCGCATGTACTACTATATCAAACGCTTTACTGGAGCCCAGAGAGATGAGATCTACATATCCTTTCACCTAGAAAATCAGTTATACTATTGGAGAGAGGCGTCAAGTTAGTCTGGCGCATCTTCATTCTGTATATCAGGATTGCATTCCACTTAGCTCCTCCATGTCTTCAATTTGTCCCTCCTTCCCAATTTATTCAAAAGCCCTACGTAGCATTGAGGTTAGAGTAATGGCCTTATTCATAACCAAACAATTTCCCTTGGTGATCGCTGAATGATTATAGACTGCCAATGCCTTGCAGCCAAGAAAAAGGCAGAGGCACTCAAGGATGTGTCAGAAAATGCATCTCCTCTAGAAATGCATACGTTGCTGTTGCACAAAGGACTGATCACCTGGAAATGGTGTATAGTTCTTTTTACCCCTATTTAAGAAATGTATATTCAGCACTCATTTGCATTTTATCCAATGACAATTTAATGCAAAAATGCATTGAGAGCAAGGGCCAGAGCCCAGGGCTGTCCTCACTGAGTCATATTCCCACTGGCTCTTCCGGCCCCATGACTTGCAATCCTTTCCAGCCTGTTTTAACAAGGGAGAGGCTGTGATGCTGAAAGTCAGGCTCCATTATCAGAATACCCGAATTTAAGATTAGAAGCAACTGTTTTTTCACCGTCTCCTCATATTGAAATCTTGTCAGGTTCCAATCATGTTTGTTGCTTTCCTGGGACACTTTTTTTTTTTGACATTGGGCATGCTTTAAACTAATGTACCATTACTCATCTTGCAGTTCTTGAGAACCCGAGTTCACCGCGTCCACTTGCATCACTGCACTTGTATGAAATTGGATAGGATCTGTCCTGCTGAGCTGAACAAGAGCTTGGAGGATATGTGTAATGTATATGCTGTGAATATACAGCATTGTTTACCTCACATGCAAGATGCATTTGGAATAGGGCAAATCCAGGCCAGATGTGGAATGCACCCCTGCATCCATGCCCGCCTGCTCAAACTCTTCAACAAGCCGGTGTCATTTGTGCATTGGACAGAAGCTGGAAAAAAACAAAACAAGCAACACCCCCCTCCCCCTGCTCCATTCATTCATTCATCTTACTTCCTCACTTTTTTTTAAAACCAGGGCAGGACTCCCAGTGATGCTATATCAAGTGCTCTTTGTTTGGGAATAGCTCTGGATCTCTGATTTATTGTCCTGTACTGGACTATTTCTGGAGAGTTAGATGGGTTCCAAGAGCTCACGCCATGTCCAGAGTCTTTCTTCACTTAAGACTCAAAATTTATGCTGAGTCTTTAAAAACACGAGCCTGCAGCAGCGAGTTAACCAAATCAGTGCTGAAAATGCGTACGCTGCAGAGTCTGACATGTTCCCTGTACCGCCACACATGAACACTGGTGCAACATTAAGGTTTTATGGAGGCCAGTGTCTACCCCAGCTAATGTCCTTGAGAGACCTCTTAATTTTAGCTACAGGTACCACAGATGTTTGGCTTATTTCATATCTTTTTGTAAGCTTGAAATTTAATTGTAAAATCTGGCAATTTTTCTTTATACTAATATGTTACTGAGACAAAAATACCTTATTCTATTTAAACTTATGCTAAGGAAATGTGACAAAATACTGTTATGTTAATATAATATTATATTATGGGCCATGATGTTTCATCGGAACATTATGATGTGAATAGTCTAGCATGTTGCACTTCTTTCTTTGGTAAAAATATTGTGCGGGTGTCTGAAATTAGCTCAAAAATACATTTTTGTATTTAAATCTAGAGGCCAATGATTTACATACTCCCAAAACGGACCACATATTCTGAGATATATTGTTTTTGAATAACTCTTTCCTAGTCCAACAGCAAAGAAAATGCATTTCAGATTGAGCAGCAGAATGAAATGCTTTTCCTGCCAGTATGCTGTCTCTGCCTTTAGAAAGAGCTATAAATTTATATGGAATAAAACTAAGGCACCTCTCTATTCTAATCAAAATATTGAACAAAAATCTACAAAAACAATGATGCAGCAAAAACCAGTATGGGCAGTACACTGACAAATTGTGTGCTAGCGTGAAGAATACAGAAAGGCAAAATAGAAAATTCACCAAAGGTGAGGAATTCATTAAAAAATGGAGGCAGTTCTAATGCTAAGTGCAGCACTGGTGCTCATCCCGGGCACTGGAGCTGCATGGAAGTGTCAATGTGTGCTCTGCTCTGCCAAGTACACCACAAGGACCACTTGGCAGAGTGTTGGAGGTAAAGTTTTATATACAGGCAGTCCTCAGACTTACAATACAATTGGTTCCTGGAAACCACGTCTTAAGTCAAAACGTAACTTGGAACCAATTTTCTCATAAGAAACAATGTTATAAATGGGGGATTGGTTCCTGAACCAAGGCCCGATACCCTATTTTCACTAACAGTAACTCAGAATTGTGTACTCAACCAATTATAGATGAGTACTATAGCTACATTAATGTATTTCTATTGTAAATAGCAATCATATTGATTTGGAAGGACTTTTTTGAGGTGACTTTGCTGGACTTTTTGAAGTGCTCTCGGTTGGACTTTGTGAAGGGCTCTTGGCTGGAGTCTTCTCAGGAGTCTCGGCTGCAGGTTTTTCTGGAGTCTCGCCTGCTTTCTTAAAGGAAGTGTCCAAGGAAGTTTGGACAGATGTTCTCCAGGGAGACGGGCGACGCAGTGAACTTGTTCACTGGTGTGGTGTAGTGTCGGCTCAAGTGTTGTAAAGTGGAAACTGATGTCAGCAAGTTGAAACAGGGTGTCAAGTTATAAACGTTGTAAGTGCAAAACATTGTAACTCGCAATGTTGTAAGTGGAGGACTGCCTCTGTGTGTGTGTGTGTGTGTGTGTGTGTGTGTGTGTAAATGTTTTTACAAAAACAAACAAAACCCCTCCAGCAGGAGCCTGCAATGACCAAGTAGTGAGCTCAGTGTTCACTGCACATGCATAGGACAGCCAAGGGAGAAGCAACTGCACCTTCGTCATAGTTTCATAGTTTCTAGGGTCAGAAGGGACCTGAACAGATCATCAAGTCCAACCCCCTGCCCTGGGCAGGAATGAGTGCTGGGATCATAATATCTCAGCCAGATATCTATCCAACCTCCTCTTGAAGACCCCCAGGGTAGGGGAGAGCACCACCTCCCTTGGGAGCCCATTCCAGAGCCTGGCAGCCCTAACTGTAAAGCAATGCCTCCTGATATCAAGCCTGAACCTGCTCTCAATCAATCTGTAGCCGTTAGTCTTTGTTATCCCAGGTGGTGCCCAGGGAAACAGAGCCTCACCTATTTTCCACTGGTCTCCGCTGGTGAGTTTATAGATGGCCAGCAGATCCCCTCTGAGTCTTTTCTTGTGGAGGCTGAATAGATTCAAGCCCTTTAGTCTATCTTCGTAGGGCCTGGCCTGCAGACCCCTGACCATGCGGGTGGCCCTCCTCTGGACCCTCTCAAGGTTAGCCACATCCCCCTTGAAGTGCGGTGCCCAGAACTGGACGTGGTACTTCAACTGCGGCCTGACCAGCGCCGCATAGAGGGGAAGGATCACCTCCCTGGACCTGCTTGCGATGCATCTGTAGATGCATGACAAGGTGCGCTTAGCCTTACTGACCGCTTCCTACATGCAGCCCCTTACACTTATCTGTATTGAATTCCATCCTATTCTCATCTGTCCACCTCTGTAACCTGTCTAGATCGAGCTGGATTCTGTCCCTCTCCTCCATTGTGCCCACTTCTCCCCACATCTTTGTGTCATCAGTGAATTTGGACAGCGTGCTTTCCACACCCACCTCCAAGTCGCTGATAAAGATGTTGAACAGCACAGACCCGAGGACCGAGCCCTGGGGAACTCCACTGCCCACATCCCTCCAGGTCAAAAACGACCCGGCCACCACCACTCTCTGGGTGCGACCATCGAGCCAATTTGCCACTCATCTGACTGTGTAGGCATCAATGCCCCAGTCGCCTTGTTTTTTTATGAGCATGGGGTGAGAAACAGTGTCAAAGGCCTTCTTGAAGTCCAGGCAGATGACATCCCCCTAAACACCCACATCCAAGGACTTTGTGACCTGGTTGTAAAAGGAAACCAGGTTAGTCGGGCAGGATCTGCCTGCAACGAACCCGTGTTGGTGGCCCCTGAGCATGACCTCCCATGCTGGGCCCCCACAGATGTGCTCCTTGATAATTTTCTCAAAGGTCTTCCCAAGGACTGAGGTGAGACTAACTGCTCCATAGTTACCCGGGTCCTCCTTTCTCCCCTTCTTGTAAATGGGGACCACATTGGCCCTTTTCCAGTCCTCTGGGACCTGGCTAGAGCACCACGAGCACTCACACAGCCATGCCAGGTGTTCGGGTGCAAGCCTGTTGCATGGCCAGTAACCTGTTGCATGGCCAGCTATATAACATGCATCTCCCAGGCTGTCAAACCAACCTCTTTCACAGCGTCATGAGATGCATTTACTGCACGTTCCTTCAGAACACAATGGTGAAACTGAGAGCTTCCGAAACGCGGGGAGCGGGCTTCCACCCTGCTACCCTCCTGACCAGGCAGAGGTGCTCAATGACTAAGCACCTGGTTGGCAAAGAAATCAGGATGACTGATATTAGCTTCCAGTCTCAAGGAGGCCAAAATAAATCTACCCATACAAATCCTAAAAGGCTGTGGTATAGGATGCCTCATTTACTTGCTCTCAAAACAGCATGCCTGGGAGTGTGGGTAACAAAGCACGCAGGACAGTAAGACTGAGGCCATTGCTCCAAGAAACAGGGGGCACAAAAATGATTTGGGATAATGAACCGTGCCAGAAAGTGCGTGCTGTATCTGCCCTCCCTGCCTCAGAACCGTGCGCTAATGTGCAGACACGCCTGATGGACATGGGGTGGAAATCTGCACGAAGAGCTTGAGAAACCAAGGCAATCGATGAGAGGCCGGGGGCTGGGTGAGCCGTGAGGGCAGGCCCGGAACGGGACGGTCCCCGGACGGGGTGTGCGGAGCGCGGCGCCAGGCGCAGAAGGGACAGGTTTCCCGCTGCCTCTCACGGGAACCCCCCGCTCCAGCAGGAGGGAGGTAGGTAGGTAGGTAGGTAGGGCGGCCCCCCCTGCTGCGGAAAGGAGCGCACGGAGCGGTGGCGAGCACGGGAAACGCCGCCGTAGCACGGGTTGCTGTTTGGGTTGGGGCGATGGGGACCTTCACGCGTCTCTGGACCGGAGCCAGGTGTTTTACGTCCCAGGGTGACGAGCTCGGACACTTCACCTTGGCCCGGACTGCGGGGACGGCGCGAGCGCGAGCCCGGCGGCCGGGGGAGGGCTCCGGAGAGGGGTCTGGAGGCCTGGCCCTCCCCTTCCCTGCGCCAGGGCCAGGTTTCCTCTCCCCGCTGCGGCGGGTTTCCCTGCTCCCTTGGGCGAGCGCCAGCGCGTCCGGACCCGGCGGCGGCTGGGGGGGGATTTCCAGCGCGGCGCGGCGGGGTCCCGGGACCTGGGAGGAGTCCGGGGGGAGCCGCGGGGCCGCTTCCTGCGCCTCCCCT